AAACCTAATTTTTGTAGTAAAACCAAATAAATATAAAAGTCAGGCCAACAACTAAATAGAAAAGCATCTATAACTACTATATAATAAAAAGATAATAATTAAATCTCTTTCAAGGTGTGTAACGTTTAGAGCAATAGTTATGAGGTATCCCAGGAACACCATGTAACTACTAGTGAGTATGATACTTGGTTTGTGACCAATGAACACATCTAGGAGCACATTAATATAAGTTGTTCAGAAAAGAGAAACTTACACGTAAACTAGAAATTTCATACTGTATGGATGTTGCCAAATTCGGGTGCTCAATCAGTTTTGGACGGAAGGTTGTGTGCAGGAGGCATAGTTGGTGACATATTCACTTCCATAATTCTCGAAAAGTAAGACCTGAAATTATGTTAAGGTATAGCTGGTGCAAGAGAAAGTACCAATAGAAGGATCAAGCAGGCAAGAAAAAAAAGAGACAGTAGAAGAATAAAAATTATCATGTTAAAACAGAATTGTGGCGTAATAACTGAGGCAGCAGAAATAAAAAAAATGCCAAGAAAGTGTAAAAGTCAAAATTATGCATTTAATAACACGCGTAGTAAAGTAAAACAATTGATAGGTTTGATACTCACTCTTGGCCCTTGATACCTGGCTGACCAACTCCTTGTCCATTTACTAAGCAACTAGGACCTTCTTAACAAAATCAGGTGCTGGGAGGATTAGTAACATGGTTACAATCCAACATTATCAACTTCAAAAAGAGCAAGACATACTACACTAAGTACATGTTCGATGGGTGAGAAATGTTGGTTGTTGGAAGTGTTGCTCCAACTTTAGGAGTCTTTCTGGCTGCAGAAGAACAAAGAACAGAGGCTGCAAGGGTAGCAACAACTTAGATGTATAACACCACAATAGAAGTGCTTCACCGATTTTATATACCACAAGGTGCCTTTTATATTATTTATGATAGAAATCAAATGGCAAAGAGATATAAATGAGATCTAATTGCATATAGGTTTAGAAACACTTACAGTATTTTGACTGTTCTTTCCACTGCGAATGTACTTGAAAAATGGGAAGAAAATGGTTGATCAACAGTTGATTTGTTAAATATTGATGATTTTAAAAGACCTTGCGTGTCGATGACACCAAATCCATGTGTGCGCCGGAAACACTTAGTGAAGAACCACATTTCTGACCTGCAAATTCACCCATGAAAATATAAAAAGTTTTAATGAATATAAGGTAGATTTCGAAGCAGCAGGAAGGGATTTGAGTTTGTGAAAACCAGTTTCGAGCTAAGTGGGAGTACAGAGTCAGTAAAACCAGAATTTTTCATAATATCAGGCCATTGCACTTTCAAAACCACCTCCCTTGCTCATTTAAGTATTTCCTCAAAACAAACCTTTCATTCGGCTAATTTTCCTTGGTAGAGTAATGCCTAAAGTTTCAGAAGACACAACAATCAAAAAAGAACTCTAACTAAAAAAAATGAAAGATCTTTACAAGCTTATCCTTGTGAAATGGAAGTAAGATAAATCCTAATGTTACAAGCTTTAACAACATTACCTTCTTGCGATAGTGCTGAGTCATGCAAGCATGATAATTATTTAGCACGAATCGAAGCAGAAGTAAAGATCATGTCGACATGTATATATATTGCTAATTCATTTCTCAGCTTCAACGGCCTCTTCCACACCCTTTGTAGTCAAAGGGCACATCTACATAATCAGTGAACAAGTTTTTTTCATTCCACATAGACTTACCGTGTCTAATCAGGATCAAAGCAGCTTCACCTTAAGGGAAAAGAGGAAGATGGGAATCAAATGTGGCAGCAGAGTGGCTTTAAATAATCATATAATTTATCCCATGAAAATCATTTCTGGTAAGGGAAACAATTACTTCTTAATGTGATAATGAAAGAAATTATCACAGATTTTTCTTGTCTCATGCTGCTTATGATTATTTTGAAAATAACAGTTCAAGAGATAGACTGTTTTCTTATGGGAGTCACTGGTGGTGGCACTTGATGGTGCTGAAGCTTCAACGAAAACCGTAGCCTGAGAAGCAGATGCTTGAATTACACAAGTACTTCTCTTTCTAGAACAAAAACTTCCTCTTCTCAACAATCCACACATCAACCTTGAAACCTTGGACACTGATCTAAAGGAAAAATTGCCCATAATCAGGAAACAATCAGGAAGTTTGTTAGGAGTTACATCAACGGAGTTATGCCAACTATAACATACAGGACCAATGTCACGACCTGAATTAGGTCTGTGACCGGCGCTAAGGGGAAAGAATCCCAAAGCAAGCCTTAACATAAATCTACAGAAAATCGGGCAAAGTTTCCTTGTTTTAGGCCTATCCTGAATTTTTTCTATCTCAGAAATTCACAACACAGCCAATAGCAACTACAAGCCACAACATAATATCCTTCAATGATCTAATTGTCACGCCATAAACACAATTCATCTCCAAATTACAAAAACAAGTTCCAACTGGTCACTTGACTACAATACGAAGGGCTAATCATGACTCAAATAAAAGGAATGACAAATGGAGCGACTCTAAGAGTTTTTAAAGAAACTAAATAAACCATAGCAAATCAATAGTTCTCTTGCCACGCGAAGCAATGCGAGGCTCACTAGATTCTACCAAATCACACTTTCTAGTTAATGAAATCCTCTTCAATACCACCTGAGTTCTCTGTAAAAACAATTAGCGAGGAGTGAGACGCTAGCTCAGTGAGTAATAAACACTTAACCACAACCATTTTTAATAAGGGACAAGTCAGAAAACATTGCTAGTATAATAATCAAAATCATATAATAATGTCTTTTCAGAAACAGTAACAATATTCAATCTTATTTGCCTCATATAAGCAAAATCAATGTAAATACTTAATAGTAAATTCAGAAAAACATTTCCATATCAAATCTTATTGTTGGGAGGTTTCCAAAGATGAATCATGTAATCAGTGTGGCCTTCTCTTTAAGAAGTAACCAATAACAGTGAACTCCTCATAAAGGAGTTAAATATTCATATCAGTAGATCCCTACAAGAGGGATATCAGTAACAGTATACTAGTTCTACCTTCCCACTAGCAAGGGCTTTATCAGAAATCAGTAACTACAAGGTGCACCAGGTCTAACGAACCCGCCGTTAGCTACGGGATTCATCAAGGTCTACTCCCATTTATATTTTTCTTGTAATCAGTAGAAGCATTTCAAAATCGAACAGAGCATTTAAATCTTATCAAATCATATCATTTCAAAGTTTAACAATCACTTGTCAAAATACTATTTCTCAAATAAGTATAAAACCTTTTCAATAACAATAATCATATCTTGTAAGAATGAGATCATCTCAAATAATCTTTTCAGTATCATATCAGTAAAAGACTTGTCCCACATGCAAGTTCAAAACAGTCGGTAACACATTTACTTTATAAACCATGTAAAAATCATGAAATTTGTGAAAAACAAATTGTGGTAAGATTACTACTCACAGTACTCATGCCGAAATACCAAGCTCATCACTCTAGTGATCCGTACGAATTCCTTTAATCAATCTATAAACACATTCATATCAATTTCGAGTTAATCTCCTTGTTAAGGCTAATTCATAAACTAAGATAAATATTTTTCAACCATTTTTGGATCTTCTTGTCCATCAAATTGCTAAATTATAATTATCCTAGGTCATAAGTAATTTTCATTGATGCACAATCTCCTAACGTCAGCCAATTTACATAACTTGTTCATTTACTTCTGTCCCAAATTACAACTTACTGTCTAACTCGTTGTCTCCGATAATAAAACTTCAGCATCCGAAATAGATTTTCTAGACTAAGAATTTCTCATGGCAAAGCTACTAAAGATTGTGGCAAGGCTGTTAAGGATCAAGGTGAAGGTGTAAAGGAATACGATTTACCTCAACCTGTTTAAATCTGTTGAATCCTTCTCTTCTTTCTATGTATACCCCCCTTGCTTCGCACTGCCTCTCTTTCTTCTCTATCTATTCAAACTGCTTTCTTCCTTTATTATTGTTGTACGCTGATTTCCCAATCCCTACTCCCTGTTCTCTTTCTTCTTCTTCTTTTTTCGTTAATTTGCCACAGCCCTTCGCTGCTTTGGGCCTTTAGCCCACTATTCTCTTTTTTTTTTAAACAAACCAACAGTCTAAGTGTACTTTCAAGTACTATTCCCTCCGTTCATCTTTGGTACTTGATCATTATATTAAAAATATTTTTTAAAACTTGGTTGTTCAATTTGAAAAATCAAGAAATAATTTATCAATTTGTATTTATTTCACCTTTATTATTAAATTTTATATTCGTTTTACTAATGAACCTTGCAATGTGTCAATTCAAATTTAATCATACTCCAATATAAACATCAAATATTGAGTGAAAAAAAACGTAACAAAAGAAAGAAAAATGTATGACCATGCAAGTTTAGGTATATATCGAGGACAAATGAAAAGTCAATAAGAGTAAATGAAACATTTAAAGAAACTGTCCTAAAATCATAAAAAAAAATTATTAACAAATATGAAAGAAAAATAATAGTAATTAATTTTCAGTTCCTGAATTATCGATATGCTTCTGGTTAACAATGTCTTGCAATTGAGTGCCATTGAATGGATGAAAGGATTGCTTTAACATCGTTTTGCTTTTATCATACTTAGAAAGGATTCGAACCCAAATATTTTTTTTCTCAAGGGTTTGAGTCCATTTCTTGAATTTTTATCTGCATTTTGAGTATCTTTTTCCCTAATACACATCGCAAATTTGCTGAATTTCTTCAATCCTACTGAAGAAGGTTAATTTCTATTTATATATATGAATTTTTAGTCATATTATTCGTATCGTCACCATCGTCTTATTTTATTTTAGATTGGAGAAACAAATGCACGATTTTGAGTGAAAGCAAACATCTTCTTTAGTAGCATTTAGAAGAAGAATGGCCGCAAAGGTGAAAGGTTTTTTAAAGGCCTTGGGTATTTCTCAGATGTTTGGTGAGAAATTTCGATTGTTATAGTTATTGTTATTGTTACATTATGATACGATTGGTATATTGCGGTTAATTGATTGATTTAATAAAAAATGTGTCAGAAGAGGAAAAAGAACCAGAAATGCAGATTGGACTTCCTACTGATGTAAAACATGTCGCCCATATTGGATGGGATGGACCATCCATTGAATCTCCCAGCTGGGTAATTATTATTATGATTATTATTTTAGGATAGTGTTTTTATTGGTAATTATAAAATGAATGTGTTGTGGCAGATGAAAGAATTTAAAGAACCAGGGAAATTTCATACAGCCCCTTTGGGTCCTCCACTTGATGCTAATGATCATCCAGATAATAGATCATGTGCTTCTGAAGGTAATTTTCTTTCCACTTTTCATATGGTTACCATATGATGGGGTCGACTATATAAATCCACTTTGTATCCATAGTCTAATAATCGTCGATACAGACAAATGTAACGTTACAAAATAGAACTTTGTGTGAGATGGTTCGTTTGTGTACCATTTGAAAAACCGACATGAGATGAAAGAAATTCAAGTTGATTCTATTGCGACTCTTCTTGAATTGCAGATGCAGATGCGAACCAAAAGTACAAGAATGCAAATTCTTCATTACCCGACGATCAACCAGAAGTGACAAAGACATCAAGGCGTCATTCGTCATCAGAAAATGGGAGTGGGGGTAGTAGTTCTCCAAAGAAAGCCAGGAGCACCAGGCGACATAAAGAGTCGTCTGATGGTACAAAAACAAGCCGACATAGCCGGCCTGGATCAGGTGGTGGCTCTGATTCTCCAGCAAGGGACCTTCCGGACATACCTAAAAAGACAAGACGGAAGAAATCCAAGGAGGATGGTGGAGTGAGCTCCGGGAGCTCATCCCGGACCTCTAAATCAAAAGGCATATCATCCTCTAGTACAACACCAATGGATCCTGGACAAGACACAGAATATGACAATTCCACTTTAAGTTCAAGAAACAATGAGATAGATAAAGAGTAGTGAGCAAAACAACAACTTAACATGGACTCAAAATCAGTCAATTTTTTTGTGTAGTCAAGTAAAAAAAATGGGCACCTGTTTTGATAATTAGAAACTATTCTTCCTAGTCTTTTTTTTTCTTCTTTTTTACTCTGAATCTATCATAGCACAATACATCATTACCTTGTATCCATATTACATTTGCTTCTTAATAGATTTTTCCATTGATAATATGATTTGTCATTTATGCACTCAATAAACAATACACTGGAAAATGCAACATTCAATACATTGCAATTACAAACTATATGAATCTTCCTTAACTTTATAATTACACCTCTTAGCTTCTTTCATCTTGTGAACACACAACAGGAAAAATGCAGAAAGAAAACTCTACTAAAACCGAAAAGTTTCTATCAACAAGTGCTATATCAGAACACAATCCAAAATTTCCCTATACTTAAAAAGTCATTAGTCAGTATATGTCCAAGATTGTCTACTAGCACAGGAGAAACAAAATTCCAAGAAAAAAGACAACATGGGAAACAGGCACCAGTACTAAAGATGCCCCAGAGAATGGGACAAATTTGGCACTAATAGCATTGTTGCACATTTTTAGTAGCCTCAAGCTAACACTAACATTAGATATTCTCAAGCCTTCATCTACACAGAGTTGAGGATTGCCTCCCAACTTCAACTTTTCTCCAACTTTGGATACAAATTTTGGAGAGAATGGAAGTCTACCACTCAAATTATTGTTCTCCAAATGTAACTCATTCACATATTCCAATGCCCCAAACTCTTCAGGCAATGCCCCTTCCAGCTTGTTATTATCAAGCCCCAAATAACATATGTTTTTCAAGTACACCCCCATAGAAACAGGAATGTTCCCAACTAGTCCTGTTTTTGATAATCCTAGCCCCACAATACCCTCAAGATTCTCCCATATTTCTGGAATTTCCCCTCCAAGATAGTTTCCACTTAAGTAGACTTCCTTCAAACTAGACATCTCAGCCAAAAACAATGGAACCCCAGAATTGGAAAAGTTATTGTAACTGAAGTCCAAAAACTCCAAACTCTTCAAACCCTTCAAACTTTGAGGGATTTTCCCAGTAAGCTTGTTGTAACTCAAGTCAAGTTTCAAAAGTTGAGTAAAGTTCCCTATAGATTCAAGAACACTACTTTCAAGCTCATTTTGACTCAAATCAAGAATCTTGAGTTTCTTCAATGTCATCAACCCCACTGGAATTTCACCACTAATCTTGTTTCTTGATAAAGTCAGCTGCTCTAAATTGACCAAACCACCAACTCCATTTGGGATTTCCCCATAAACACCACTCCCACTCAAAACCAACCTCCTCAAACTCATCAAGTTTCCAACTTTATCACTTAAAGAACCAACAAGACCTGGATTCTCCAAGAAAACCACCTCCTCCAAAGAAGAAGGCAAAGATCCAAAGTCAATCAAAGAAACCTCATTTTCAGTAAAACATTTGTAAACAAAGATCTTTCTTAGATAAGAAAAAGGGGTAAAAAGGGAAGCATTAAGTGTGCTATTAGGAGTACAAGGTGGATTAGGAGCATAATCTGAAACATAACCAAGACTAATCTCAGTTACATGAGGAGTAAATGAGTTTGTAGTGGAAACAAAGTAATCACAAATAACCCCATGTGGGGAAGAAGAACAGAGATCATCAGGGAAAAGGGAACGCCAAGAGACATCAGAGTTAATGGATTCAAGAACATTGTACACTGCTTCTTGTTCCACCATGTTGAGAGCAGAAGGCTGAGAAACAACAAACATGATGAAATAAGCATAAAAACACAAAGTCAGAACAAGAACAGAGAGTTTAGAGAAGAAAGCCATTTTGCTTTAGAAAATTGTGAAGTTTGAGAAATGACAATGAAACAGTGGTGATAAAGAAGGGGTATTTAAGAGGGAGAAAATCATAAACATGTCTGTCTTGAAAAATGAAAGAGAAAGAAGGAATCAAAAAGACAGTTTTTTGTTTGCAGAGATTTGCTTTACTGTTAACATGCTACGTTCTGTACCCCTTATGGTCAAATGACCGATTTGCCCTTTTTATGGCTTTTTGTCTGTCTGTCCTTTAAAGCTTCTCTACCTATTTTTTTTATGATAAATTATTATTTCGTTTCAATTTAAATGATACATATTCAAAAATACAAAGATTTTTAATACTTCTGATCCAAAAAAAAACACTAAAGTAGGTTGAGAACATAAGATCTCATGTTCAAATTTCAGTAGAGACAAAATTACAATAGTAGGTAATTCTTTCAATCTGTCTTAGCTTTGGTGCATAGAATTACATGATATATGATCTATGTTACTGGTTGGCGATTATAGATATTTCGTGAAATTAGTCAAAGTGCACGAAAGCTGGTTCGAACACCACAATTATCAACAAAAAAAAAAAGTCATAGATGTTTGTGTGCTGTAAATCTTCTTATCAAATGGTAAAATGTGTTTTTGAAGATCAAAGAAATGTGTCATTTTGTTAAACTTACACCGACTATAAAAAAAATATGTCATATAAATTGAAATTGAAACACATGCAGATTTTTTCCTTTTTTCTTGATTGGTTGCTTGCTAGCTTTGTTCTTGCGTGAAGAAGAATGGAAAAAAAAGAAAAAAGGTAACATGTTTTTCCTCTTCTTCAACGACAAAAAATACAGTGAATCATTTATGTTTTCCAAGAATAGCAACTGCATTAAAATGGCTTATTTGAATTGGAACTTTATGTCATAAACACAGACCTTTCACTAGCAAGTTAAATTTCAGTAAAATTATTATTTAAGCAAACATTGACACCAATTTCATGTGATATGACCTGATAAGTATCCAAATTTACTAGATTAAAGAAAATTTTATCTTTGGATGAGCTAAAAGACAAGCTCACAAATGTAGTGACCTAAACAAATGTTTTATTAAATAAAATAAATAGAAGTAACAAGAACTAAATATAAAATGTGTAATTGAGAAATTAATAAGAAAGTCTTTTTTCTTTTCTTTTTTATTGATAAGAAAGTCTATGGACCGATGTGGTGCAGTAAATGAAAAAGTCTTCGATTCGACCTTTGAATATTGAAAAATCCTTGATAATAAGTGTTTTCCTTTGAATAGGACCCTACACAACACGAACAGATACTGAACACCAAATAAAAAAAAATAGAAGTATATCTCATAACACCATTGTCTTTCTCTTGTTCTTTTTCTTTTTTGGTCGCCAGATGGAAAACACCACTGTATTTTTGTTGAGTACTTTTTGGCAGCAAGCAGCAAAGAGAGAGGGGCAAAAAAGACATTTGAGTAGAGTTACTTCATTTAACATGAAGAGTCATGTAAAGGGGTCAATGCCAATGATCACTCCAACACAGATTACCATTTATAAACCCAGCATCCATTCCCATCAATTATTTAGAACCTAAACTACGAGTTCATCAGAATTCAATAATTTTAGCACATATTTTTTCTATTTTTAATTACTTATTTATTTTTTAATTAATACATTTATTAAAAAAATAATTATTGACATAGTAAGTTTACCATTTTACCCTTACTAATTATGAAGTGGTGAATCAAAAATTTAAGATTTTCAAAAAGTTTTACTTTTTTTCAAAGTAATTAATTGAGGGTATGATAGGTAAAAAAAATTATTTTTTCTTGATTTATCAAAATTGACAAGTAAAAAGAGACAGGGAGAGCATCTAATAAAAGAAGAGAGATAAAAATATTTTTAAATTATGTGAAATTAAATAAAAATATTTTTTGTTAATAATTTGGTTTAAAAAATTTTAATTGTCAATACTTTTGTTCAAAAATAATACTCGTGTTTTTTAATATTTGATCCAAAAATATCTTTATTGTTATTTTTAAGTCTAAAATATCTAATTTGCTAATAAACATATTATTTCTTTTCTTTCCTAATAAAAATATTGTAATCCAACATTAATTTTCATATCTAGAAGATTATAGATTTATAGTAATCCATCATTAATTTCATTTAGATAATAATAATTAAAAAAATCTAATACAGTAGAAAATATTTTTATTTTTCAATATTTTTCGAATTGAAAAAGGGCAAGCTTTTATTAATATAACAATCATAATATTATAAACACGAAGTTTTATTATATTACTTCAAATCACAAAATTATTACTTGTTTCATCTCATTTTACATGACACTCATTTTTTTATGGTCGAATCCAAAAAGAATGTCATCTTACTATAATTAGAAACAATTAAACTCTTATTTTTTTATTCTTCATAAATATTTTTCAATCAACAATAGTTTTAAATTACAAATTTTTAAAATCTTTCTTTTTTTCTTAAAATAACATACCAAATCAAACCGTCGAAAAAAATATCATATTCACTTTAAGTTAAATATGAATAAATAAAAATATACGCAGTGTTAATTAGTAACTTGAATAATTAAAAGGAACATAATAGTCTGATGCTACTATTGTAAATCCAGAAAATTACAGGTATTAGGTTGTTGCTTTTATTGATAAAAAAAAAAACAGTGGAGAAAAGGTTGTTAAAGAGAGTAAGGTTGCCTGATTAAAACCTGCGGACATTAACGCCGACCACGACATGGCGGCAGCCGCCGGCCTGTTGGTACATTTTTCT